TTTTAATGAGAGGATATACTCACAGTGTTTTCCTGCCGCCATGTTGATCTTCCCAAGCATGAATAAGGAGATGAATACAGACATGCAAGAAGCCAGAACTCCCAATTACCACAATGAAAAGAAAACTACAGCAAGACACCTAAGAGTAAAGCTTGCAAGAGTCAAAGACAAAGAAAAAATAATGAAACTGGCAAGGGGGAAGAAACAGATAACTTCTAAGGGAAAACCAGTCAGGTTAACTTTAGACATCTCAGAAGAAACATTACAGGCAAGAAGAGAATGATGTAACATGTTCAGCAAACTTCAAGACAGGGAAAGCTAACCAAGAATATTATACCCTGCAAAGCTCTCTTTCCTCTACAAAGAAAAATATGGACCTTTTCAGTCAAACAGAAACTCCAGAAATTCATTACAAGTAAACCTCCACTCCAAAAAATTCTACAAAAAGTCCTAAAGCTAAAACCAGCAGAGGAATGAACAAGATAAACAGAATAAAGCAAGAAATAAAATCACGGAAAAGACAAACAAAATGGCAAACACAGATGCCAACATATCAATGTTAACTCTAAATGTAAATGGATTAAACTCAACAATAAAAAGACACAGAGTAGCAGGCTGGATTAAAAAACAAAATCCAACCTTCTGCTGTCTCCAGGAAACATATTTAACCACAAAAGATAAACAAAGACTGAAAGTAAAAGGTTGGAAAACAGTCCTACAAGCAAATGGACCAAAAAAGAAGTCAGGAACAGCCACACTTATATCAGATGAAATAGACTTCAAATGTAAAAAGGTAAAAGGAGACATAGACGGACACTACATTATGATCAAGGGGACAATACATCAGGAAGATATAACACTCATCAACATATACTTACCATATAAATGGGCACCAAAATATATTAGACAATTATTATCAGCTCTGAAAACAGACATTAAAGAAAATACATATATAGTGGGAGACTTCAACACCCCACTCTCACCAATGGACAGATCAATGAGACAAAAAACAAACAAAGACACTAGAGCCCTAAATAAAGACATAGAACTCATGGACTTAACAGACATCTACAGGACACTGCACCCAATAAAATCTGAGTACACATTCTTCTATGGTGCACATGGATCATTTTCGAGAATCGATCACATGCTGGGCCACAAGAAAAACATCAACAGATACAGGTGGATCAAAATCATTCCAACTACCTTCTCTGATCATAAAGGAATAAAGCTAAAAATAAGTCATGAAAAGAAAACAAGAAACCCTCCCACTTCATGGAGATTGAAATCCACACTACTGGAAGACCACTGGACTAATGAGGAGATCAAAGAAGAAATTAAATGATACTTTGAGTTGAACGATAAGGAGGACATCACTTTCCAGAATGTATGGGATGCAGCAAAAGCAGTAATAAGAGGAAATATATAGCAATACAGGCTCACATCAATGAAAAAGAAAGAACTCAAAGAAACAACCTAATCTCACATCTCAAAGAGCTAGAAAAAGAACAACAAAAGAACCCTAAAACCAGTAGAAGAAAGGAAATAATAAAAATCAAAGCAAAAATAAATGAATTGGAAATTAAAATAACAATCCAAAAGATCAATGAAACCAAAAGTTTGTTCTTTAAAACAATAAACAAAATAGACAAATCTCTAGCCAAGCTCACAAAGTAGAAATGGGAGAAAACACATATAAATAGGATTATAAATGAAAGAGGAAAAATCATAACAGACTCAGTAGAAATCAAAAGAATAATCAGAGATTACTATGAACAGTTATATGCAAACAAATTCAACAAACTGGAGACATGGACAAATTCCTAGAATGATATAATCATCCAAAGGTGGGCAAAGAAGAAACAGAACAACTGAACAGACCAATTACAAGCAGTGAAATTGAGGCAGTAATCAAAGAACTGCCCAAAAACAAAAGCCTGGGCCCAGACGGCTTCACAAATGAATTCTACCAAATGTTCAGCAGTGAACTAGTGCCTTTCCTACACAAACTCTTTCAAAAAATTGAAAAAGAAGGAATACTACCAAATATGTTCTGCGAAGTCAACATTACACTAATAACAAAACACAACAAAGACAGCACAAAAGAAGAAAATTACAGGCCAATCTTCCTAATGAACACGGATGCAAAAATCCTCAACAAAATCCTTGCTAACAGAATCCAACAATGCATCAAAGGGCTAGTACACCACGATCAAGTGGGATTCATCCCAGGGCACAAGGATGGTTCAAAATACAAAAATCAATCTTTGTAATCCAATACATCAACAAAAAGAAAAATAAAAACCGTATGATCATATCAATAGATGCAGAGAAAGCATTCAACAAAGTCCAAGATCCATTTATGATGAAGGCCCTTGAAATTCTTGGGATAGAAGGAACATATCTTAACATGATAAAAGCCATTTATGACAAACCACTGCCAACATTATTCTCAATGGCGAAAAGCTGAAGGCCATTCCCTTCAGATCAGGAACAATGCAAGGTTGTCCTCTCTCACCACTGCTCTTCAATATAATACTGGAGGTCCTAGCCAGGGCAATAAGACAAGAGAATGACATACAAGGAATCCAAATAGGGAAAGAAGAAGTAAAACTATCACTATTTGCAGGCAATATGATAAAATCCATAGAGAACCCTAAAAATTCCACAGAAAAACTACTCAAAATAATCAACCAGTTCAGTAAAGTAGCTGGATACAAAATCAACATGCAAAAATCAGTAGCCTTCCTATATACAAACAACCAATGAGAAGAAGAACTCAAGAAAACCATTCCTTTATAATTGAAACCAAACAAAGAAAACTATAAAACACTGTTAAAAGAAATTGAAGAATATACAGATTCAATGCTATTCCAATAAAAATCCCAAGGACATTCTTCAAAGAAATAGAACAAATACTGATGAAATTCATATGGATCCACAAAAAAACACGAATAGCCAAAGCCCTGCTGATGAAAACAAAGGAGATAGGAGGTATCACACCTCCAAACTTCAGCTCTACTACAAAGCCATAATAATTAAAACAGTCTGGTATTGGAACAAAAACAGACACACAGTCCAATGGAACTGAATAGGGAGCCCAGAAATAAAACCACACTTATATGAACAACTAATCTTTGACAAAGGAGCAAAGAATATTTAATGGAACATGGACAGTTTGTTCAATAAATGGTGCTGGGAAAAGGACCTCCACATGCAAAAAAAATGAAACTAGACTATTACCTCTCACCATGCACAAAAATCAACTCAAAATGGATCAAAGAACTGTACATAAGACCTGAAACCATAAAATATATAGAAGAAAATATAGGTAAAACACTATAAGACGTACATCTCAGAAACATCTTTAAAGACTCCTCACCCAAAGCAGTGATAGTGAAGGCAAAGATAAACACCTGGGATTACATCAAACTGAAAAGCTTTTTTTTTTTTTTTAAAGATTTATTTTTATTTATTTATTTATACAAGCACTGGGTACAGTCAGAAGTGCGGGAGGGTGAGAGAATTCACCAGAGCCAGAGCGGGGAGCAGAGCAGGCAGAAGGACCAAAGTACACTGCTGAGGGGAGCAGCGGGCGGAAGGAGAGGTCTGCGCGCCATGTGGGACCCTCCTCTGGTGGCCGGGGAGCAGCCGGGGATTGAATCAGCGCTGCAGGAGCTGTGGGCAGCTTCGCAACCACTGTGCCACCGGGGAAGCCCAACTGAAAAGCTTTTGTACAGCCAAAGAGACATTAACCAAAACAGAGAGAAATACCCCAATGACTGGGAAAAAAATCTTTGTGCTCCACTCAACTGATAAGGGACTGATCACAAAGATATACAAAGAACTCACAGGGCTCAGCAAAAACAAAATAAACAATCTAGTCAAGAAATGGGCAGAAACTCAAAAGACATTTCTCCAAAGAGGAAATGCAAATGGCCAACAGGAATATGAAAAAATGTTCAACATCCCTTACCATCAGGGAAATGCAAATCAAAACCACACTGAGATACCACTTTATACCAGTTATAATGGCACTTATCAAAAAAACAAGCAACAAAAATAAATGTTGGCAAGGATGCGCTGAAAAAGGAATTCTCCTACATTACTGGTGGGAGTGCAAATTAGTGCAACCACTGCGGAAAGCTGTGTGGAGTTTCCTCAGTCTACCAAAAATGGAGCTACCATATGATCTGGCAATTCCACTACTAGGGATCGGTTCAAAGGGCACGGAAACAGTGATTCAAAAGAGCACCTCTACAACTATGTTTATTGCAGCACTATTTACAATAGGTAAAACCTGGAAACAACCCAAATTCCCAAAAATAGATGACTGGATCAAGAAGATGTGGTATATATACACAATGGAATATTATTCAGCAATCAAAAAAGATAATCTCATGCCATTCGCAGCAATGTGGATGGAGCTAGAAGGAATTACACTCAGTGAAATAAGCCAGAAGGAAAAAGAAAAATATCAGATGATTTCACTTACAGCAGGAATATAGGGAACCAAATAAGATATCAGTGTAAAACACATATAATGACGGTACAAAACACAAGACAGCAAAAACAGACAATTATAAACCAGAGACATACTGCAGGGGAGGAGGGTGGGAGGCATCAGAGGAGAGAGTGGTGAGCACAGGGGACTGTGGTGATGGTGCACGGGTGCCTTTGGGAAGGAAATTCTATGGAGACTCAATCTGAGGGGATGGGAGGAAGCAAATATTGTTTAAAATATGCAAAAAATGATAAATGTTAAAATAAAAAAATGAAATGGTTCGATTGAACTGGATCAGATTTTTAAATTACTAAATTAATCCTTTTAATGCAGGAAATTCTAAGTTTTAGAATAGCACCTTCAAACTGAATCGCTGACCAGCAACTGCTGATATTATTCATCTCTGATGCTGATTGGTTCTCAACACTCAGCACCCAATTCAGGAACAAAGATTTCTTGGTTGGTATTATTTGTGAAGTGGTGAAGGAGAGTCCTAGTCTACACTGAGAGAGACTTGCCTGCTCCTCTGCACCCTGTCCTCGCTTGTTCTCAGCATGGCGTGTCTGTGCTTCCCAGGAGGCTTCTGGATGGCAGCTTTGACAGTGATGCTGATGGTGCTGAGCCCTCCTCTGGTTTGGGCCAGGGATGTTCCAGGTAAGTGCACACTCAAGCTGGTGGGCTATTGTGAGTGGGGGAAGGAAGGGCATTAGCTTTGTCACTATGTTCAGACTGTGTACCTTAGAAAATTGTGATGTTTTCTTTAGTGAACATCTATCTTAACATATGGGTACTCAGTTCCTTCCAGAACAAAAAGAACCTGATTCTGGCCCTCTCTACAAGACATGTATAAAGTACATCCTTATATTTAGACCATTTCCTCTCAATGGTCTTCAGCCTTGCATTCCATTCCCCCAGAAAAATGATTTCATCAATCTTAGAAATAATGATGTTAAAATAATTTACATATAGAAATTCCTTTTATTATGTTGAGAGTGGCAGAAAAAGAGAAATTTTCTCTGAAAAGTTAATAGGGAATGAAAATAATTACTAAAATTTCTCCTAGTTATGCTAAGCAAAACAAATCAGAAGGAGAAAGCAATACCAGATGGTTTTATTTATATGTGAAATGTAGAAAACAAAGCATCAGACAAAACCCAACTAATAATAAACCCTAGAAATCAGATTGTAGAACTAAGACTACTAGACTGGAATGGGGAGGGAGGTAACAAAGTCAGGGGCATGATTGACTGTGGTACCTTGATGTTGGATGTGGTGAAGTGACATGCATCTGGGGAGGTGTGATCTTATGTTTCTGATCACAAACAGTGTTGTAAAGCAATGAGAGAGAGAGAGAGAGAGAGAGAGAGAGAGAGAGAGAGAGAGAGAGAGAGAGAGAGAGAGAGAGAGAGAGAGAAAAGAAAAAGAAAGAAAGAAAGAAAGAAAGAAAGAAAGAAAGAAAGAAAGAAAGAAAGAAAGAAAGAAAGAAAAAGAAAGAAAGAAAGAAAGAAAGAAAGAAGAAAGAAGAAGGAAGGAAGGAAGGAAGGAAGGAAGGAAGGAAGGAAGGAAGGAAGGAAGGAAGGAAGGAAGGAAGGAAGGAAGGAAGGAAGAAGGAAAGAAAGAAGGAAAGAAAGAAGGAAAGAAAGAAAGAACGAATCTCTTCTACAAGATCCTGTGTTTTAGCCTCAATAGGATCTGTGATCCTGGTGCCTTTCTCTAATATGTCAGGATGTATCAAGGGGTTTCTCACATTACCTCCTTTCTAATTCTCCCTGGACCCCAATGTTTGTAAACCAGATCCCAGTATTAGAGGTTCTCTGAAAGAAGTTGGAATTCCTGTTTCATCTTTTTTCCTGTAGAAAGCGCCTTAGACTTGAAGCAGATAGCCTTAGTACTTGGGATGATCCTGTAGGTCAGGAGCATCTAGGGGGTGTTCTTTCTGCCATAAAAAAACTTAAAACATCTTCTGAAGACGTCACACATGTTGGTGTTCATTATGAACCTTTTTTGAATCTTTCTATAATGTTAATTTCTCTTACATCTCTCCATTCTTTGGCCTGCACCCACAGGAAAGAATTCAACCAGCAATGGATAAATCATATAAAAAATTTTTTTTTTTTTGGTGGGACTCTCGCCGGCGGCCAGGGATCGAACTGGCACTGCAAAGGCTGCAGGCAGCATCGCAGCCCTGCGCTCAACCGCTGCGCCACCAGGCGAGGTCCTATGAAATTGTTTTTAAACAAAAAATAGTAAAATATTACCAATAACATTTGGTTCAAATTGTACACCCTGAGCAGTGGAGCAGAGTGTTAAAGCTGTTTACATTCCATGGAACTGAAAGCCAATAATAGGTTAATCAAGGAACTCATTGATCTACTGATGTTGACCCTAAATTTCATAGTTTCATTCATCATTCTCTCTATTTTCATCAATTAGTCATATTTGTTTACCTCTGCTTCCCATTCTTCCTTGTTCTTTTCCCAGTTATGTCATCATCGATACTGAAAATCCCCAAAGTTGGTATAGACCCTAAGTACTACAACAGATTCATGGAATGAAATAAAAATTTTCCATTTTTCTTAAAATCATCTTCTTACCTGTGAATGTTTCTTTTTATTTATTTATTTATTTTTTTAATATTAAATTTTATTTTTATATTCCCCCATACAATTGCAAACGCCCCATTCTGACCCCAATTCTTCCCCTCCCGCCCCCACGCCCCAAAAAGTGTCTCTGGTTCATAGTTTTTTGTTGATTTTGATTTTCACTTTCTTATATTCATTTTCCTGGTCCCTTATTTAAGTTCTCTAGATTCCTGCTATGAGTGAGACCATCCGGTATTTTTCTTTTTCTTTTTGGCTTATTTCGCTGAGCATGATCCCTTCCAGCGCCATCCATGTTGCAGCAAATTGCATGTGTTTATCTTTTTTGAATGCTGAGTAATATTCCATGGTATATATGTACCACATCTTCTTGATCCAGTCATCTATTTTTGGGCATTTGGGTTGTTTCCAAAGCTTAGCTATTGTAAACAGTGCTGCTATAAACATAGGGGTGCAGGTGCTCTTTGGAATTGATGTTTCTGTGTCCTTTGGGTAAATACCTAGGAGTGGAATTGCTGGATCATATGGAAGCTCTATGTTTAGTAGGTCCAGAAATCTCCACACAGCTCTCCATAATGGTTGGACCAGTTTGCACTCCCACCAACAGTGCAGAAGAGTTCCTTTTTCTCCACATCCTCGCCAACATTTGTTGTTGCTAGTTTTTTTAATATGTGCCATTCTCACTGGTGTGAGATGGTATCTCATGGTAGTTTTGATTTGCATTTCCCTGATTACAAGTGATGTTGAACATTTTTTCATATGTCTGTTGGCCATTTGCATTTCCTCTTCAGAGAAGTTTCTTTTTAGCTCTTCTGCCCATTTTTTGACTGGATTATTTTCTTTGTTGTTGCTGAGTCTCATCAGCTCTTTGCAGATTTTTGTGATCAGTCCTTTATCATTAGTGTTGGGTGCAAAATGTTCTCCCAGACTTCAAACTATACTACAAAGCCATAATCATCAAAACTGCATGGTATTGGAACAAGAACAGACATACAGACCAATGGAATCGAATAGAAAATCCAGAAATAAACCCACAGATTTATGGTCAACTAATCTTTGACAAAGGAGCAAAGACTATGCATTGGAGCAAAGAAAGTTTGTTCAATAAATGGTGCTGGGAAAACTGGGTCGCTACATGCAAAAGAATGAAGCTTGACCACTACCTCACACCATACACAAAAATCAACTCAAAATGGATTAAAGAACTAGACATAAGACCTGAAACCATAAAATACATAGAAGGAAATATAGGCAAAACACTACGGGATTTGCACATCAAAGACATCTTTACAGACACATCACCCAAAGCAGTGATAGTGAAGGCGAAGATAAACAGCTGGGACTACATCAAATTAAAGAGCTTCTGCACAGCAAAAGAGACAATAACAAAAACAAAGAGAAACCCCACCAACTGGGAGAACATTTTTACCTGTGAATGTTTCTTACAGCTAGTAGGAAAAGAAAGAGAAATGTTGTCTCAGTATTTCAGATGAAGAAGAAGTTATTTAACATGCCATCAGAACTGAGCTCCCTGCTCTCCAGGATCCCCACAGTGTTCAAACCCCGAAACCTTGAGCAATTCCAATAAACTGGGCCCTGTTCTAGGCTCAGAGAATTCTATTTGGATAAGATAGAACTTATTAAGCAATAGCTTAATAAATATTTAATGAAGGAAAATATTTCTGAGAAAATAGGTGCTCTGAAAAAAAAAATGAGGTTTCTAGACAAATTGAATTTGCCTCATATCAGTGAAAGTGGTTTGGGAACTTTCCCTGAGAAAGTAACATTTTGTTGCGACAAGAAAGATGAGAAGAAGCCAGTCAGTCATATGAAGATCTAAGGAGCAATCAATATTCCAGAGAGAGAAAATAGGGGAAAGGCCAAAGTTGGGAAGATGTTTGTTGTGTTTAAGACACAGAAAAGAGGCTAAAATGTCTGAAGAGTAGCAAATAGACTGGGCTTAGAGGAGGCTGGAGAGGAATTCACCTGACGGTCATGGTATGAAATTTGAATTTTATTTAAATAAACATGATGTAAGTACTGTAGTACTCATATACTGTCATTCCTTTACAGTGAATGTCTTATCTATAAACACATGTTCTAATTTTTTTGAGGTGATATGATATTAAAATTTTCATTTTCTTAAAATAAGGAACAAAAAGTAAACCTGAAAGTTCAGTAATTTTATTTATTATTATTTTTTTATTTTTTACATCATTGTTCATTTTTAAACAACATTTGCTTCCTCCACCCACTCCCCCACCCAGGTGTACTCCCTATAGAGTGAAAAGAGATTTAACAAATGTTTTCATTATACTCAGTAAAACTAAGTTTTATAAGGGATTTGGGTGACCATTTAAATAAGGATAACTGGATTAGCCTTTCTGGAAAAGAACTCTCAAGAGAAGTTTAGGTATTAATATTTAAAGCAAATGTTTCTTTGCTGACATAGATTGTTAATTACTCTTTTTCTGTTGAATACCAAAGCTTTCTTTTTAAGTAAATACCTAGAATAAAAGTAGAAACGTCCAACAATGTAATTTTAAGGCACATAACTCATTTGAACCCATTAGCCTCCCAGAGGCAAAAGACACAAAGACAAATACAGTTACAGAGATTTCTTGATTTTCATTTAAAATTTTTGCTATTTGTACTAATTTTAAGAAAAAGTTATTTTACCAACATTTGTGAAGACACCAAGAACTTTTTTTTATTTTTAATTTTTTTTACTTTTATATATTTTTATATCATTCTTCATTTTTGTACAATGTATGCTTTCTTTTTTTAATTTTATTTTTATATTCCCCATACAGTTACAACCCCCTTATTTTGATGCCAAGCCTTCCTTTCCCCACGCCCCACCCACCATAGAGTGTCTCTGGTTTATAGTTGTTAATCGATTTTGATATTTTCTTTCTTATAGTTATTCTTTTTCCTGGTCCCTTATTTAAGTTTTCTAGATTCCTGCTATGAGTGAGACCATCCGGTATTTTTCTTTTTCTTTCTGGCTCATTTTGCTGAGCATGATCCCTTCCAGTGCCATCCATGTTGCTG